AGCAGGCACTGCGCAGAATATCGATGTCGTTCAAAACTCCGCCTTCTGTTCTCCGATTGGCCCAGGTAAAATAAACTACAAGCAGACACTGCGCAGAAAATTGACRTTCTCTTCTCTGATTGGCCCGGCTAAAAATCTGCCAGTGAAATCCTTGTCTGTGGGAGAAGTCCCAGATGGAGCAGCTGCGTAGGAAGGCAAGGGCCAGGCTAGTTTTTTCTGATATATGTTTGGATTGATTTTAATGTAATCTTTGATGAATGATTTTTAATTTGATATTGGTTGTTTTTATTTTACTTGTGTGTTGTAATTTGTTTTGAATGGGAGTGGTATTTATATAAGCCCATTCAGGCTTCTACCGTTCCCTTACACATGACATATAGTGTTTTATAACAATCGTTTTGTTTTGTTTGTTTGTTTTTGCTGTTTTTTTTCCTGTGTGTTAAATCCCCAAAAAATAAAATGTACACAAACGTTCTGAGAATGCTAGATGAAGCCGATTTTAGACCTTTGACTCGATGCCCATCTTGATGATGCTGCCTGTGATGGTGAAGATGTCGCTGATGATGAGGAGGATAAACCAGCCGTTAATAAACTCAAGCCGGTCTGACCAGCACACTTTACGATCCAGAGCCTCCTTGAAGTAGCTCACAAACTCCTGCAGAACAAGTCAAACAGAAAAACTTACAATTTAGTTTTCCAATCGGGTTGAGACTCTCCACACAGGTCAAACCCCGTGGAGCACCAACAAATCAATTATTAATAAATAGAAACGTGATGCCGTCTCAGTACCTGTCAAGTCCAGTCATCCACTAAAACCCAGACTGGGTAAGAAGCCTGCAGTGTGAACTTAGCCCTAGTTTTCCTACCTGTTGCAGAATGATGCCTCGCAGGATGGAGCGTCCACACAGCAGCAGAGACAGCAGGCACAGCAGAGCCACGGCCACGTCAAACGCTACTCGYGTATAGCTTTCAGCTGGAGGTGCGAGCCGTTAAAAACAACAACAAAACCGTGAGCAGCAACAAACTGGTGTTCWTTTCATTTTAGCAACACAGATTCTCTTTCRCTTGAGCAACAATTTGATCGTGTTCTGATGCAGACGCTCTCATGTATCCATCCAACTACACCTCAGAACATTTAACAATAAGAAGTACGTCAGTAACATGACCTGTTTGTAAGCAGCTAACTTCACCACATTCACACTTCCCTCGTGTCCAAATAGTGGTTCTAAATGAGGTGTCTCACCTTGTCCTGAGACACTCGGGTCTTTACACTCCTTTATTTTCGCTTTGTTTTCCAACCAGATCTTCACTTTGCCGCTGTGAGCCTTGTTGTCCAGAACAATCTAGGAGAAAGAGRAGATGAACGAGTAAACCAGTTTGTTTGAATCCATCTTTTATTTACARGTGTTTCAGGAAATCAACATACAAAGTCTCTGTGTCTGTAATCTTATGTGTTAAAGGTACCATTATGTGGAAAGTGTAGCAGTCGGGGATCTCATTGTTGATGATTGTTTGAATATTGATCGCCTTCAGCTGGAACTGTATGGTTACGTTTATCAGCCTTGAAGGAAAAAAAAAAGACATGTTTATTTTATGCCATCTAGAGGCTKGTAAAGGAAACAGTAAGATAGTAACAGAAACTAAGCATTCTTCTGTTAGAGGTTTTTATTATTTAAAGCCAACCACTGAGTGAAATGTCGTGCTCACAGCTGGAGTGTGCAGCAGAGATAAGTGACTTGAAGAATGTCGACATCAGATACAAAACATCAGCGATAACTTTATCAACTAAGACCAGAYGAGTTTTGGCCGAAGCCACGGGAAAAAGGAAGCCTTACTTGTGGAACTTGAGCGTGAAGTTTTTGTAGCTGCTGGAGAGCGGAGCGGTGGGGACGGACAGAGGGTCCACCCCGATGCAATCTGAACGCAGAGAGAAAGATTGATGGAGAGGTTTGACTGGGTTAAAGCTCATGAAGTATATTCTGTTTTACGTGTGAATGTATAAATTTTGACAGATTTACACAAACAAACAAAATGAAACTTTCATTCACATGTGATTAGGTGACAAAAAATTGTTGATTCAAACGCTGACGACACTTCTTGGTACATTTTGAGTCAAATACAATAAAATGAGGAAGGAAGAAAGTCTGAGATTATGTAATACGTTGTTTTTTCAGGAAACAACGTTACATTTTAAATCAGCAGGGATTTGGTAACTGGTTTAAGAGAAGATGGATGGAGCAAAATATGGAGACTTCCTTGAAGGAGAACTTTTGATGTCTTCCAGGGATTTAGACTGAATTAGAGGTTCACTTTCCAGCAGGAGTACACTGAAACAACACTCTGCTCATTTAAGGGTAACCAAGTAAATGGTCTAGTCGAAGTCCAAACCTGAATCCAACTGAGAATCTCTAGTTTGATTTAAAGATTGATGAACACAAGTCACATCCAAACAATTTTAAAGAGCTGAAACAGTTTGGTCATGAAGCATGGACAATAATTTCACTTTCTCTTACTTGTTTTACAATACATAAACTTTGTATTTTAAATAGATAATTTCTCCAAAAAACAAAACAAAACAAAAACAAAACAAAACAAAAAACCTTCCAGGCTCTTAGCTTACCTTGAAATGACAAAACAGGTTGTTATACCACCTTTAAGCAACTGTTTAAATGTTCAGCAGTTTGAAAAGATTTATATTGGTCTCCACTTGACCCTTTTTTGTGCCTCTTGTGCGTTTTACCATAAATTAAAAGCTTTAATTCTCAAGAAAAAYGTTTAACTTGTGTTTTCTGTCTCTTTGCTGGAGTGATCAGTTGAACATTGTCATGTGACAAATACTCTATACTCTGTTCTCAGATAAACAGTGTCTAAACAATCATCGTTAGTGTCTCCTTTAAAATGGTTCATTCTTGCAGCAGTTCCCAACACTAAAAGTTATCTGGGAGCAACATCTTGTCACRTTGTGTAAAGCTTCTCACATCAATACTACTCAGAGCTGAGAGCAGCTTTTCTTCAGGAGCTGCTGGGGTTGTTAAACGAAGATTCAGCAGCTTATACGTTTTATTTTACCTGTGATGATGTCGGGGTCTATGCTGAACGTGTCGTTGGCCGGGTCGATCCGTCCCTTCTTGTARTACTGCTGGCAGAGCGAGAGCGCGCTGCCATTCACGCCAACATCGTAAACGTATGCGTAGCGCCCCACTGTGGTCTCTGGTAACGTGAGGTACTGAGAGAAAACAACAGAATAAACTAAGAAAAAACAGCTTTTTAAGCGGGTCTGAACAGAGTCAAACTCAACACTACAAAAAAAAGTCTATCTGCAATTTGTTTTCATTTAGAATCTGTACGGCTGATTTGTTTATCAGTTGACAGTTATTGATATTAGAAAACAGATTGTCTCCACATCAGCTGACTAACTATATCACCTCAGTTCTGTAAGATGTTTCATTATCAATATTGATAARTCCCTCTACGATCTGGTTTGTGATGAATTTGTCAGTACGCGTCAACTGAGTAAAGAGCAAAGGACCGAGTACACATCCTTGAGGTGCTCCTTTGTTTAATACGACGTCTTACTACAAATACAAACCTTCTCTGAAGCGTTGACCTCTTTCAGAGWTTATATACCAGCCTTGTCAAACAGAAAAAAAAGATTCAAGAATGATTTATGAAACACATCAACGACTTTTATGGCCTCCAAATTCTCCACAACTCAAGCTAATAATAAAAGAAAAYAACCGACTGTTCAAAACGCGGTTAGCTGAATATTTATAAAAATTGTTCCTGTGTTGATGGCCCCTCAACCTTCCTTCCCCTTACTTTCTCCACAGCATAGAAGATGTGGTCGTAGACATCCTKCTGCGTATAGACGGCAAAGGAGTCATCTGAGGATTCATCGTAGTCTTTGAGGAAWAGATGCTTGAAGGTCATCGTGTTCTCCTCCTTGAACGTCACCACCACCTGGTTACTCAGGCCAAACATCACCAACTAAACCAAAAATAATAAAAAATTAGTTTAACAGGTTGAAGAAMAAGATGGGACTGACAAAAGGACAAAATAACAGCTTGTTTAAAAAAAAGAATAATTACCTGAGCTGTGACAAAAACAATTTTAAGAAGCTGCAGCACCAGCTTGTAAGGTTTGCGGCCCTTGGCGTGATATTTGTCACAGGGACTCATGAAAAAGTATTTGAGCTTTCTGCGGATGGCCTCCTCCTCCTGGTCCGCCCTGACCCAGTGACCTGCTGTTGTTGTTGAGGGATAGCTGTGGCTGATGTGGTTGCCGTCATGGCAGTTCCTCTGATGATCGTGATGATCATGTTCACAGCTGCTGTCTGTGGAGCCGTACCGAGTCACAGAGGAGAGCAGGTTATCCTGCTCCGCTGGATGAATAAAAAAGAAAAAAAAAAGGTTTATGTTTTTAGTCATGCTTGTGTGTTTTGGGCGCTTTCATAATTTATTCTCAGTAAGATGAAAACAAGATGTGAGAGTTGATGTACATRGCGAACAGGAAATCCATCTTTAACAGGGACATGTAGAGACAAACWTAACAACTCTTCATAGTTTCACACATTGTGGCAATTTGAAGTTACCAGTTAATGTTTGTATGTTTTTGGTCAGTGCAAGGGAACTCAAGTTCCCAGAAAAAACCCACACTTGCAAAGAGAGAACAGGGAAACTCCACACAGAAAGGTCACAGCTGGTCATTGAACTTGTAACCTTCTTAACCACTTCCCCAATTAAGCCACTTCTTTGCATCTGGCTGTAAATTGGAACAGCCCCAGTTATTACTGAACTGAGTTCTACTGCATTTAATATGACTTGTTCCCATCATTGGTTAGATCAAATTGACAGTCGTAAATAAACACTATATGTGACCCATCATATCGAAATGAGGATTAAGTCAAATTTGGTCAAAATGACCTCATTACATTTTCARATTCTTGGCTTTAAAAGCTACATTTTGATACCTGGATCATCCTGATATCATAAATAAATCTATAATAACAATCTATAGTAATAATATGACTTAATTTGTTTTGTTGGTTACAATAAAACATAAATATTTGGTCTGAATCCTAATTTTATGTCATTTTAATGAGGAATTTTTGATGTCCTTATAAACAGGAAACCTCAAATTATATTTGAATATTGAGATTTYCCAACTGAAAAGAAACAAAACTTTGCTAGCTCACAGGGAAAATCTCAAACTTTTAAGGCGTTTTTCCTCAAAATCAGGTTTTTTGTTGCTACTGCTCAAAAAAGTGCTTCAAAATTTTGTTTTGATTACATTTCAGACAGTTCATTCAAATTATACATTGTATTATACTTTGACAAAATGCAATTTTTGTTAACATTTTAATCAAAACACTATATCTGCCTTTTTCTCCACATCATAATCCTCATTTCGATGTGATGGGTCACATATAATAAAAACTAAAGTAATAGTGCAATTCAGGGCAAGAAAATGACTGCATGTTGAAATTGCACAATGCCACACAGCTGAGCACAGAAAGGGGAACAGAGAAGAAGACGGTCCGCGTGACGATCGCCTGAACACGAAAGACATCAAGGCAAATCAATGTCAACGATTCAACGACTGTCAGTGTGCAGCGACCTATCATGACTGAGATCGTTGCAGGTCAGCTCGAGTCAGGTCGGCCACTGTCACAACAAACACAACTCATCTACCAGACAGATTGTAATCGGCATCTCAGAAACAGACACATGGCTGAAAGGAAAGTGGAAAACCTGAGCTTCGGATTGATCAACTGTTTTCTGTTAAAACAGATTTTGTTTGGTCTTGAAATAGAAATATATTTGAAATAGAAATAAAGCTGAGTATTCTACGGCAAAGGTGTCTTGCCTGCAGGGCATGTCTGTGCGTCAACGCTCGTTTTTTTTACTGCTGTTACCTTACTTTGACCTGTTTTCTGTTAGACAACATGAGGTCACTTTTATGTTTGTTCCTTCTGATTCCGACTACGGTTGGGCGATACTGCCACAGTAGTTGCACCCCAGCTCCAGAGGTTATAGTAACTAAGTACATTTACTTTGTTACAGTACTTAAGTGATTTTTTTGAAGATTTGCAAATTTTACCAAGTATTATTTTTAAATCGTGACTTTTACTTTTACTTAGTTACTTTAAAACCTAAAAATTATACTTTTACTTCTTTACTTTAAAGTTTAACACCTAGTTACTTGTTACAAATTAAATCTGTCTGAACTCATCATGAAAGGAGTTGTTTATGTGCTCTAAAAAATAAGTGTTGAATTTACTCAACTAAATCATATCAACTATTTCCACTAAACCTAGTAGAGTAAATTTGAGGCAATTTACATATTTTGTTTTAAATAAATTAACAAATTCAATCAACTTGGTTTTGTGGAGCCAGTTTGGTTCTGTAAATTTAGCAGTTTATTTGTTAGAGAGAGTGGAAAAGTACTTTTACTTTCCCAATTTTTGTGAACAGTTTTATGACTTTTATTTAAGTATTTTCTCATCAGTGACAATTATTTTTTATCAAAATCATTTTCTGTTAAGGTAATTTTACTTTTGCTTAGTTATTTTTTCTAGTACTTTATAGACCTCTGCTCAGCTCTGGAATGCACTGCCCCAATCTATACGCAGCCAAAAAAAAAAAAAAACAACATCTGAAAACTTTTGTTTACAAACAGGATTTTAGCTAAGTTTTTTTTTACTACTTGTACTTTTATATGAGTATAATGCTGTGGTGATGTTTTAATTAATTAATTTTTTATGTGAAGCGCTTTGTGATTTTATATCTAAGAAAGGTGCTATATAAATAAACTTAACTTACTTATTGGCAAAAAAATTAGCAGATAACAATATGATGATTAATCCCCTGGAGTCCCTGCATGTCCTAGTCACATGACCAATTTAAATCACTCTAGTCCAGGGGTGCCCAAACATTTTCCTTGAGGGGGCCAAAATGAAAATCTATCGGGGGCTGCGGGCCAAATGCAGTAATATAATATATGAAATACAAATACTTTTTAAAGTAAAGTCCTTTATTTTTAAAGATTAAGCTATGCAGTGGCCCTCTTTTGTTTTATTCTGTGCACTTGGAGAAAGTCTACCATACGCTCAAGTAGTAAAGGCTCATGGGATATTTCATAAATTGATAAAATATGAGTTTTTGTGGCCTTATAAAGTGTGCAAATCTACATGTGGGGTTAAATCTGATCTAAATATTTCTTGTCATTTCATGTTTCATGTTTAATCCTAATAAAACAAAGATAAAGTCAGCACCATGAATGAAAACTACCTTCACTACAGCCCCTTTACATTGTCATTTGACCAATGGAAACACTGTGTTTCTACCTATAGGATAACAGGTTACAACCTTGTAACTTTGGCAACTGTTGGTGGGCCAAATCAAATGGCTTGGCGGGCCAAATTTGGCCCGCGGGCCCCACTTTGGGCTCCTCTGCTCTGGTCGGAAAGATTTGCTCTCGGCAAAAATCTGTGTCAAAAGTACAGACTTCAGGCAACACATCAATTTTTAAATTGTGTTGATAGACCAAGTAAAACCAGAGTGATGATAAATAAACTACACAACTTCTTTTTAAAAGTTTCTCATATTTRAAGCGGAGAGGAGCACCGGTCAGTCTGCCTGGCGGCATTAATATTATTAATCGTCAAGTGCTAAAAAAATTTGATTGTTTTTCTGGTGATTAATTGCGCATGATACAATTTTTCCCAACCCTAATTCTGACATTGAGACTGCTGCACAATAATGGTGGCAGAAAAGTAACTTCTAAACTCTCCCTCATTTGTGTAGCAAGTATATGAACCACTGAAGCAGAAAAAAATAATACATTTTCTAAAGAGTTTGTCACATGTCTGCTGTCATATGATACTAGTGTAGTTCATATCAACAGACATGTTTATAAATTCACTACATAGTTAGGTTAATGAAATGTAAGAGACTGAAGTGTATTTTAAACTCACAGTAATTTATTTTGATCTCAGCTGTGTTTGGAGTAGCCATTAGTTTAACTCTGGCAGAACCGATTCTCCAAACAAAGGTTGTTCAAAGAACTATCTATAGCAGGTAAGATATACATTTTCACACAAAAACATCAATTTATCAATAATTTGTGTAGCTGGAAACAGAAAGTCCTCAACACAAAGCAGATTTATTATTCCTAATGCCTGTCACATGGTTTTAATTCACTTAAACCTGTTGCTTTCAAGAAATAAGAAATGAGGTCAAACAGTTTATCCACCATCTTGTTTTTTTTTATTGTACAAATTCGTCTGTAGGGTTGGTAAACTCAGAATTGGGCTGGACTTCAAAACACAAGACGACTACAACTAAAGCATTTGTTTCTGCTCAGTAAAACCACAGCGTAACATCAGAGGCACTGAGGCATCGCTGTTAGTCAGACACAAAATGTGAGCAGACAAACTCAGCCGGGGTTAGCTGCCCGGACGGACACAGCTGAGAAGTGAAACGGGAGGAAATAAACTGCAAGAGTCCATCATTAGTCATCACAAACCATAAACAAGAGGAAAGTTCAACATTTTAGTCTGCGGCTGTGAATTTTTTTTTTTCAGGCTCATTTAGTTTGTAAGAAGACAAAAAAAAAAGTAAAACAGCTCTGTTATTTTTACAAACAACAAGTTGTGACACAAATTGCCAACAAAAGGGAGGAAGCCATAAACGTGTATCTGTGTCACGTCAATACAGTTATTTGTGATTGCAAAGGTGTGATGTTTCTAACCAGCTGTCAGTGAAGTGAGAATTGTTTTCTTAAGTTGAGTCTCAATCTTTAGGTTTTAGCTCTATTTTGTCCTGAAGCTGTCTGAGCTGAGTTGAAGGAAATCAGCTGGAAAGAATTTACGACCTCACGTGGTTTCCTGCAGAAAGCCAACGCCAAATTTAAAGGAATCACTTCTTGTGTGAACACACTAGTTCCTTCTTTGCACTGCATAACCCGCTCAGCTCATCATCATCTCTGTCAGCTGTAAATGTAGCCGGTGCTGCGAACTGGATAACAAAGGCATTTAAGGCACTGGTGACAGAAACGACAAACCCGTTCATATCTTTGATCAGAGGAGTGTGCTGCTGATTGTCACAGAAGGCCGTTATCAGACCAGGGTTTTTTTTTAACAAGCCACCCAATAAGCAACCCAGGCTAGATGGGATTATGAAAACATCCAGCTTTTCTGGTTCACAGCCATCTCCAGGATAATAAACTTATGCAGCTGCTGATCAGTCAGCCGTGACTGAAAATCTATCAACAGTCATATATCAGCCTTTAAATCTAATCTAGTTATCGAATGAAAACGGCTGAAAAGGGGTTAACAGAACAAAACTTTGACTTTACACCGAAGCTAAATGCATCTCGTTTTGACATGATGGCAGACGTGCTGAAAACAAAATTCTGTTCTTCAAAAAGAAAAAAATTGTATAGGTCTTCTGGACGGGTTCTTCTCTAATGAAACGTTTCGTCTCTCCTCCAAGAGACTTCATCAGTCCGAGAGTTTCAGGCAAAATTCAGGCTTTTAAGCACTGCCTCCATGTGACTGTACTCACATCACATGGCTATCGTTGACACCTAATTAACACCTATTGTTAACAGGAGGTGGAGTGATACTGGCAATAGCAGCGCTGTAGGAGGGGGACAACTGAAAACGGAGGCCTCCACCTCTGTTTAATGATGGACGGTCTTTCTTCACAAAAATGGCTTCTTTTACTCCTCTCTCAAACCAACGTTCCTCTCTATCAAGAATGAGAACATCCTCATCTCTGAAAGAGTGACCGCTGGCCTGTAAATGAGTGAAAACTGCAGAGTTCTGGTTCAAAAGAATGTCCCAACACAGACGAGCTACATCTAATGGCCAGAACTCTGCACTCATTTACAGGCCAGCGGTCACTCTTTCAGAGATGAGGATGTTCTCATTCTTGATAGAGAGGAACGTTGGTTTGAGAGAGGAGTAAAAGATGCCATTTTTGTGAAGAAAGACCGTCCATCATTAAACAGAGGTGGAGGCCTCCGTTTTCAGTTGTCCCCCTCCTACAGCGCTGCTATTGCCAGTATCACTCCACCCCCTGTTAACAATAAGTGTTAATTAGGTGTCAACGATAGCCATGTGATGTGAGTATCTGTCACATGGAGGCAGGGCTTAAAAGCCTGAATTTTGCCTGAAACTCTCAGACTGAAGAAGTCTCTTGGAGAAGAGACGAAACGTTTCATTAGAGAAGAACCCGTCCAGAAGACCTACACAAATTTTTTCTTTTTGATTTTTTTACCTGGATTACTGAGATGCATCAGGACTAGGGGGTGTAAGAAAATATCGATACACTGAAATATCGCGATATTTCATTTCCTGATACTGTATCGATATTCTAAAGCCCTGTATCGATTTTTTTATTAAGGTTTAAAATGTCAACTTTCCTGCCAGCCATTCTTTTTATGTTGTAGTTCAGCCTCTGACCACTAGTTGGCAGCAATGAGCCAGCCATTTGGCTCGTCTACCTCTTGAGCGCCAGAGAGTAAGAGAGCATTAGCATTGTGAGTAAACATTAGCTTCATGCTCAGTAACTAACAGTTACTTATTTGTCAGAATGTCTGTATTTTAAGCCAAATTAAGTGTCTTGTGCACTCTTTTTTCCAACTGTAGTCAGCTTTCACGTTACGCATATAGTGCATGTGTCTATCACCTCGAGCGAGCTCGGCACTCCCCCCGTGACATAAAACTCTGTCTGTTGCTCTCAATGTCCAGCTGATCGCATCAAAGTCCATATACTTTAAGTTTATCCTGCTGTGTTTGTTTCAAAAACGGTTTAACTCGTTTAGCTTCTCAATTTCCTAACTGTTTTTTTTTCAGGACCTGCCCTGCTGTTCGACCCACAGTTACACAAATCATGTTCTGGATGCAGGTCAGCTGATCCCAGAAACTCTGTGTGCAGCAGCTTCATATCATCTGTTTACTGAACTTTATGACAACCAAAAATATCTCAATATATCGCCTTGTTTACAGTATCGAAATATATAGGGATTTTTCGGGATATATCGTATCATGATCCCTCTGTCATGATATGTATCGTATCGCCAAATTCTTGCCAATACACAGCCCTAATCAGGACATTCTGTTCTTCATTCTGTCAGGAGATGTCTCCGTCAGATGTAGACACATAGATGCACAACAACAAGCAAGACTAATAATAATCCATGAAGGATTTTTGGTTGGATGCATGGTTAGTTTTGTGGGATCTGGTGGTCCAGACACTGTGTCAAACAGCAGAAACTCTGCAACCTCAACACAATAACACAAGGAAACTGCAGTACAAAACTGTAATCATAGCAGGTGATTCAGTAATTACAGTCTTCACTTCATGCAGCTGAAGTCAAAGCTTCAAAACAACAAACGACAACTGAAAATAGATAACTTTTTCAACGTTTAAACAATTATTATTGTCAAAATACTAATTAAAAAATGTCTCTTTCGTATAGTTTAAACTCCTAGCCTTCACTGCCACTTCATGTGAGATGTGTTGAGGATGACTCTCAGCTATTACCACACATTTTTTTTTAGTTAAATATCTGTCAAATTGACTACGTTGTTATGTTTTTTGTGTTTGTTGAGGTTGTGGCAGCAATGTTTACTAGTTGTTGATGAGCATCCATTGATTGGTTTCTGTTTCATTAGATATTTTGCTGACAGACAAACAAAAATACCTTTAAGAATACAAAGTCTGACCTAACTTTACTGATGTTGTCTCGTGATGAATGATGAATAATCTGAGAGGGAAAATAATCCTACTTGAGTACAATCAGAGCCCAAACACTCCTGTAGAAACAAGTCAGATACACAGTAAGAACCACCAAAGCATTTTTAATCTCCTGGTTCATTTTAAAACACGAAGATAAAGCAGCAAACATCCAACTACATGTTTACATAAGGAGGACAAAAACTCGCGACTAAAAAGCGAAGTTAGTTTTGAAATTAATTCTTACCAGAGAGGTCCTGGCGTCCTGATTCAGCCATGGGATTAAATTAAAATAAATCATTAAATAAGGTGAAGAACTGCGACGGTATTCATCGGGACAGCAGTTTATTTCCTCTCCGTAGCTGTTCGGGTTATGGTCCTCTCTGTTCTCCGGTCTCTGTTTTTGCGCAAACTCTCTTCCGCTTTGTCTGATCACGTGACCGACACCACGTGACCACCAGACAAACTCCCTCTGGGCCACAGCGAAAAATAGAAAAAGAGATTCCCCCAAGTTCTGACTTTAATCTCAGAGTTCTGAGTCTTTCTAACTTTAATCTAATCTTTAATCTTAAGATAAAAGTCAGAATTTTGCCTTTTTTTTCTGAGATTAAGTCAGAATTTAGGGAAAATTATTATTTTTTCCTCTGTGGCCCTAATTCTCTTCTGTAACCTACTAATCCTCTTCCCTATATTCAGTTGAGTTTATTCATATAGCACAAARTCACAACATATGTCGTCTCAGGTATACAAAAAAAAAAAAACTTGACGTAATGAGCTGCTACTGTATTTCATGGTGGGATAAAGGGTATTTATATTTTTATTACATAAATATCATCAAAAATGTAGAAAGGTTTACTTAAGACCACCTTATTTCAAATTCCTTTCAGTTTTATTCACAAAATTCTCATTTGATAGACTGAGGAGTTTAATTTAGGATTAAAATTTTACTCAGCTGACTTTTAAATAATCAGCACATAAGCATTTATCCATCAGGTGTAGTATTACGTTACTGCTGCCGCATAAAACTGAGAAATATGTGGTACAGCTCTCCTGTCAGTTAAATAGCTGCAGCAGTGGTTTGGGTCCCACTGTGGATCTTAAAATATAAAATTAAGGATGTTRAAACAATTTTCTGGATTAATTGCATTTATGGAATAACTTGCCAAAAACGTAACAGTTTACTTAAGAGCTTGATTAGTGTCGTTTTGAATGGATCGATGAGCCAAATTAATAAAGACCTATAAGCTCTAAGATGATTTGTTTTAGTTTGTGGAAATTATCCTCTGAAGGATGTGCGTGAGGCGGGTCTGCTCATATAAACAGGCCAAGTTTGTGTCTGTTTGCATACAAATACTGGCAGAACAGCCCTCATACACAAGAACCACCTTATTTGCATCTCAACAAAAGGTTAATCCCTGATGAAATTATTTTACCAGACCGTTACAAGGAGGGAGGGTCACCTGTGGTTTTATAAACCAAGTGGCAAGAATGGGATTAAAAAAGAGGAAACAGCACAACAGAGTGACGTCATGACCATCTATATATAATGATGAGTATTGTTGGAAGGGCATAGTTAGCTCCAGACTGGGAATTAGTATTTGCGTCTTGTGTTTCTTCTGCAAACAGGTTTGAGTGAGTGTCAGAAAAAGCATGGATGGAAAGCAATGTTCAGGTTAAGTGTTGTTAAATAAACTTTTATTTAAAGTTAAGCAGATCCGTTTTGCAAAATGAGGCAAAAAAAAACATGACCCCCAAATCACCACCAATATCAGCCGTCGGCAGTCTTGATTTCTAAACATCAATGGTCAAAAAAACCCCACAAAAACCACAGTTTCCTTTCTTCTTTATTTAAATATTTACATGAAAACCACTTTTATGTAATTTAATTTCAAACCAAAGTGACACAGAAGCTCAAGTTAGAAGTACATTATCATTACATCCAACTATCGTGGCCTGAAACATGTAAAWGACTTTCTCTAGATGTTTGTTTTTTAGGAGCTTTTGTAGAAACATGACGTTACAAACCAAAGATTGTATATGATAATACAAGAACCATTACAGGAACTCAGAATATAGGAGACAAATGAGACTTTTCCTCATTAAATATAAAAAATAACTTAAGATGCGATTCTTCAGATGTTGTATTCTGTTGGTTTACATAAATCTTGCCTTGCTGTTGTRTGTTTAAATATTACTTTTTTCTAATACATTTCGATGTAATCAGTTATTTCACATCTAAAAGAAAAGAATTAATACCGTGATTGTGTGCGAGCASTTAGCGGAACCTCAAGGCCCGCATCCTCAGTGCACAGACTGTGGTTTCAAAAATACAACACGGCAGCTTCTGTAAACTGCGTCATGCTGGTTTTCAATGGTCTCGATTCCTAACAGCAACACAGGAAGGCGGGAACTTCTGGTCTAGTAGTATAAGATATGTTGATGGTGCAAACAGGCAAAGGGGCGACAAACAAGACCTGTGATGTTTTTGTACACAAACTGCTTGTCCTATAGCCATGAAAACACTTTTATTATCTTGTAACTCTGTCCTAAAAATAACGTTTAGGTACAAATACGACAATATATCTATTTACTTGTCACACAGTGCAACCTTCCATGCACATTATCATTTATATTTAATTCAGCAAGGGATTAAATCAATATTTGTTGCTAATGACCATATCAGTCCAGCATGTTCATGAAAACTGGATTTTATTATTTTAACTACAAAGAAACCTTTATGTYAACTTCTGTTGTTTTTCTTGACCAAATTAACAATTTTGACTAAAGCTGCATTGAAAATGAAGATAAGATGCATCACTCCCCTTTAATAAGTTTACAATCCAGTGTCAACTTTAAAAACATCTCGTGTCAAACAACGCCACACCTCCACGCTGACAAAAACCAGCAGCGCCTCATCCCTTCCTCCTCTATCTGCCCTCCAGGGCTTTGTCTCTGGCGATCACGGCCTCATCRAACTTGATCATGAGCGTGGTGCCTTTGTGCCAGTGGACGGTGACTTTGGCGGGGAAGCCGCTGTGCGAGAGGATGGCCTCCACGATGCCCCCGGTGAAGGCTGCACAGTTCAAGCTGCTGGTTTCCTTCGGAACGGAGATGAAGGTGTTGACGAGGGGCTCTTTCTCGATGATGTAGTACGTCTTGTCGTCGTCGTTGGCCTGCTCCAGTTTATCTGCCTCCTTTCCAAACAGCGCTCTCCACACGGATACCTGTGAAGGGGAGAATGACAGGTTCATATAGATGCAGGTTTAGCTCCTCCACGTTTACTGACATCACATCTGCAGTTATTTAACCAAACCTACTTTCTCCTCTGAAATTAAACGTCAGATTAATCTAAAACCTGCAAACATAAATATGTGAGTTTATTACAGTGTGCCCTGTGGGTGTGTACCTTAATAAACAGCAGAATGTTCAGCACTTTGGTCTCTCTCTTGCCATTCTTYTCCCTCAGGACCAGCACGTCCAGCATGCTGGCTCCCACACTCTTCCCCAGGTCGGACAGGCGCGCCTGCAGCTCGGTCACCGAGTACACCCGGCCCTGGCAGTACTGCACCACCTCCGAGAAGAGGAGGGCGAAGGCGTTCACGCTCACCTCGGTCTTGGGCCGGCTCAGAGGCCGCTCCAGAATCATGGACTTGCCTTTTGTGAAGCGCGCCTCCATTGTTGTGACTTTTTATGGGCTGCTACTGAGCGGCTAATGCCAATGCTAACCAGACCARACTGACGTAAAACATGCGCAGCACAAACACCAAACAAATAACAACTAAAAACTACAAATGATCTACTGAAAGCAAAACTAAACAATTTTAGCTTTCAAACTCCCTTGTATGACGAAGGCCCASCTTTTGTTTTGGTTTTGGTACTTCCGGATTAGAGGGGTCGTCACGTGACATCTCTTCGTCTATTGGGYGCATTACTGCCACCTACTGGACAGGAGAGTCCAGGGAGCAGGGGAAAAGACTCACACATCATTTTTAAAAGTAAAAAATATACATAAACAACATGCAGTCAAAAATATTTACTTTAATTTTTTAAGATTTCTAATTAATTAAAAAACAATATAACAGGACCAAATCAATGGAGTCCTCAAAGTGAATTCAGTGACTTAAAGTTTCATTTACTTGAAGACTGTAAAATCACTGAGAAATAAAAATATTATTTTGTCATTACAAGTTTTAGGTTGAATGTTAACTTAAAATATGTACGAAAGAACTTAATACTGTTAAGAAATTAAAAAAAGTTATATGCAAAGAATAAAGTCCAAAAWACAAGAATAAAGTTATTTCAAGATTAAATGGGAATTGGAAACTCTCTAAAACCAATAATCCCCTGGCAGATTGTAATTAAACTTACAAAAATTAATAAATGGATGGACAGTAGCTTCATTAAGTTTTGGAAACAATCTAATGTAAGCTGGCTATCATTGCCGACACCATCGATTTGAGATTTGATCTAAAAGTTGATGTTTAGTAACTGAGAGTCACTCACAAAATATTACACAATATTTCAAGATAAATTTTTTTGTAAACTTATTTCTCAGTTTAATTTTTTTGCATAAATCTGGCATGGAAGCTGGCARGTGATATKCATTCCTTCAAGCGATGCTTGGRCTTTTACTTTCAGTTATTTTAAGCACATTTTTTAAAGTCTGCAATCAGTCACTTATTAATGAACTTATAGTAACCAAAGACATTTCCGGACAGGGGTTGTGTTTAACAAACACATACATCACATGAGATGGTAAACATTAACCGTAAATCATATTATGTCTGTTTCGTCTCCTGAACACGAAGAAAGCGTTAAAAGGCTCTACATGCAGAAGGAGACACATGTAACAGAGTGAGGMAATAGATTAGTAAAAAGAAAAATATATTCTTATAATGAATGTTTAAATGAGGTACAAACTTCACTTTTGCTGTGACAAACGTTGACGGACTGTAGGTTGAGTCAATATTTGGACCCRTCAGTGCACAAACAGAACCCTCTGTTTGTTGAGACATCACATTGCACTCATGCACATATTCTTTCAGAAGACTCCACAATGTTACTTTGGTGCATCTTATTTTTATGTTTTTAGATGAATGCCTTACATTGGATCATTTTAGTTCACTGAAAATTTCAAAAAAGCAACAAGGAACATGGCTTTCTTTGGATGGACGTTTTTTGTTCTGGCTTTTTTTTATTTTCTAACTGTCTGCAGCAGGCCGACAGGTGAGCTCACCTGATTTAAATTCTTTATGACGCTATGTAGTTTCTTTTTCATTTTCCRTCATCAAAATAGTGAATGTTTAACTCTTATAAAAAACACTTTTTTAAAGCCACTTATTTTTTACAAAGTGCTTTACAATGCTTTTTCTCATTCACTCATAATATGATATTTAGAAATTTATAGTCAGCACACCACTTTACACAATTTTTAAACTATCAAAAATACTAAATATTCAAATTTATTGCACATCAGAAATATTTTTACACATTTATTTATTACTATACTTGCATAAAAGTACAATTATAAGAAATTGTGTCCATAAAAACACGAGGAAATGAAGGAAATGTCATGTTGTGGTTTTTATGTAAATTTTATGGGACCTTTTTAGTTGTTATTTTTGTTTTGTCTGATTTACTGCTTCATAAGAACTAAAGTGTTTCATGTTTTTTGCAATGGACCCAGGCTTGTGAGCCTCTGGTCAGTAATCRATACGATTCAATAAAATACAACACAATTGTCATACTTGATGGGTTGATTATATTGTTGATTTCAGATCATTGTTGTATTCTTTGGGTTTTTCATTTGCCTTTAGTTTCTCCTGGCTCCTTGTGTCATTTGTCATTTCTCTCAGTCATTCTTGTTCCTCTGTTAACGCTTCACACCTACTTCTCATTGGTTCGTTAGTCTCTGTTTTCCTGCTTCTTGGTTTGTTTGCTGCAGTGTTGTACAAAATACCTCAAATTGAGTAAAAGTACAARTATCTTACCAAAAAATTACTTTGGTAAAAGTTAAAGTCTCCTTTAGGAATATTACCTGAGTAGAAGTATTAAAGTATCTGATATTAATTGTACTTAAGTATTAAAAGTGTTGATTTAAAATAAGCAGTTAGATTTTCTGTAACAACATTTATTAGGAGGTGACCTCCCACCAAAATGCAGAAATTACTATGTTGTATTAAAATAATTAATTTATGTTAAATTTAGGATGCACTAGTTTAACTGTTTCAGTTTATATACATATATCAAGGCTGCACAAACATTTTTTTCCAAAATGAAATTCTATCTGAGGGCTGCAGCCAAATACAATAATATAATTCATGAAATACAAATACTTCTTAAGTACAGTCCTTTTATTTTAATGATTATGTCCTGCTGGAGTGTGACATGATTTGTTTGTGTACAAACTAATACAGTATCAGAGTTTTATATTTATACTTCTTATTCAACCACAATTAAATTAACTCTGTCTAGGACGCACAATTTATATGGATAGTATTTATATTTTTCAATAACAAGCTGGAATGAAAACAAGCAAAAATGAAATAAAAGTAACGACTTTCTACTTGTCTTTTTTAAAAATGTAAGGAGTAGAAAGTACAGATAATTGTGTGAAAATGTAAGAAGTAGAAGTTAAAAATTAGGAGGAAAAATAATTACTCAAGTAAAGTACAGATACCCAAAAAAATTCATCTGAAGTACAGTAACAAAGTATTTGTACTTAGTTACTTTACAACTCTGGTTTGCTCTCATTGAAAATGTCTAATAAAATCTATTTTACTCTTTGTCTGTGGTTGAATTGTCTTCAGTTGTGCACTTGCGCAGCATGGAMAGCTTCATTCGAGCCGTGCAGCAGGTTGAGGACTCCAACCCAGGTCTGTCCCCCTTGACTCTGGTCCGAGCCCTGCGCAGGACTGCAGGCCACGATGACGTCATGACCATTCATTTCCTGGGTGCTTCCTATGATCTGAACGGCACAGAGCTTCTGGAGGAATCGATTCTGAATGCAACGTCCTTCAGCTTTTTTGACAAGGCCATCCACCACAYTGTGACGGACCACGGAGAAGAACGGGGGGTGGTCCTCGCTCCGGACGGCACCACCGTGGCCCTGGCGCCCTTACTGTTGGGGATTGAATCAGGGCTGAAAGCCAAGGCAGAGGGGACTCAAGCTGTTGGGATTTTCCCTCTCACCCTCRGCAGGACGCTGGGCCTCTCGTTCCTCAGCCTTCAGGACCTCCCAGCCTTTCTACGTCTTGGGCCCAATGGCTGCTGGGATAACGTAGAGCACCCAAACGTGTACAAGCTGTCTCAGCCTGCCACTTTGGCCACAGACGCCATAATCAATGGTGGTATGGATGGAGTTATCCTGGGCATGGACCTGAGTGGTCTACCTCCGTCTGAGCARCCCCGGAACCTCAGTGAGATCTTAAAATCGTATTACAGTTTCACTCTGAGCAAGGAGCAGAGTCTGGACGGCGTGACSGACCACATCAGTCCCAGGAGGAGGGAGCTCTCCAGATCCCTGCTGGAGTCACTTGATCTTCAGAACCAAGTCATGGGGACACTAGCTTTGGTGTGGAAGCTGGAGAAGACAGAGTGGATTGCTCAGGACACAGGGATACAARAGGCGGTGAAGGATGGATTGCAGACATTTGTACACAGATACTGGGGTGAGTATTTGAATTTTGGTACCTCAAAACCTGACATTTAAAAGTTTTTTCAATGAATGAATGCTCTATTCTTGCCCTCCTACATGCAGACTGCCCTCAGATCATCCCTCGCTGCCAGTGGGGGGCAAAAGCCTACCGRGGTACACCCATCCCTCTGTCCCTTCCCCTCCAGTTTCTCTACATTCACCATACCTACGAGCCTTCATCGCCCTGTTTGTCCTTTCCGAGCTGCTCTCGTGACATGAGGTCCATGCAGCGTTACCACCAAGAGGATCGAGGGTGGAGGGACATAGGATACAGGTAACTGACCAACAATTAATAGCTCATTGAATCCCTTGATTTTGAGGTATATTGTGTATTAATAGGGGAACTAATTTCCTGATTAGTGCCTTTGGGCTTTTGTAACTTTTTTAAATTCATTAGTGGATTAGCACTCGCTAAACTTATGAGCAAAATTTAGAAACACCGAGATCTTTAAATGTTATTTAGAATTAATTCTTGCTAATTTTTTAGTGCGTTAGAGCTTTACAATTAGCTCATGCTAAATTCTTCAGTGAGCTTTAGAGTTAGCTCTTGTTAAATTTTCAGTGTCTTAGTGCTTTAGAGTTGGCTGTTCCTACATTTTTCAGTGCGCTAGTGCTTTCGAATTAGCTTTTGCTAAAATTATCAGTGCAATAGAGCTTTACAATAAGCTTTAGCTAAATTCTTTAGTGCGTTAGAGCTTTCAAATTAGCATTTGCTAATTTTTTTAGTCTGTTAGTGCTTTAGAGTTAGCTCTTGCTAAATGTTTTAGTGCATTAGAGCTTTGGAATAGCATTTGCTAAATTTTTCACTAYGTTAGTGCTTCAGAATTAGCTCAAAAAGAAAAAAAACAAGTATAGGTCCTCTAGATGGGTTCTTCTTTAGTGAAACGTTTCGTCTCTCCTCCAAGAGACTTCTTCAGTCTGATGAGTTTCAGGTGAACTCAGCCTTATAAGCACTGCCTCCACATGGACAAACAGGTTAGTCACGTGCAAAAAGAGAACCATTGACTGACAATAGACTTGATTAGCTCTATTTAGTCACATGCAAAAGATGGCCCTCTTTTGCATGTGACTRACCTGTTTGTCCATGTGGAGGCAGTGCTTATAARGCTGAGTTCACCTGAAACTCATCAGACTGAAGAAGTCTCTTAGAGGAGAGACGAAACGTTTCACTAAAGAAGAACCATCCAGAGGACCTACAGAGATGCATCAGGACATTTAGAATTAGCTCTTGCTAAAATTTTCAGGGCATTAGTGCTTAGATTTAGGGGAGCTAAATATTTGAGTTAGTGCTTTAGGGTTAGTGCATGAATTTTTTGATTAGTGCTGCCCACCACTGAAACACATCGTGGTTTCTCCGCACCCTCAGCTTCGTGGTGGGCTCTGATGGATACGTCTACGAGGGCAGGGGTTGGAACCACCTCGGCCGTCACACGAGGGGACACAACTCYATCGGCTACGGCGTGTCGATCATCGGCAACTACACGGCCTCGCTGCCGTCTCGCCACGCCATGGACCTGATACGCCACCGGCTGGTGCGTTGCGCCGTGGACGGAAAGGGACTCGCCACCAACTTCACCATCCACGGCCACAGACAGGCGGTGAACTACACTGCCTGCCCAGGAGACGCTTTATTCTCAGAAATTAGAAGCTGGGAGCATTTCAGGGAGTAACAGAATAGTTTCGACTAATATTTTTACAAAAAGGATTCATGATGAATCCAAAATGAATTTCCCCTTGAGGTATTCTACATGTGGAGCAACACTGATTTTTAAAAGACAAATTATACACAAACCCACACACACATTTAATGTTAAACAATCCTGATAACCTGCATTGTATGTTGTATTTAAATTAAGTTAATAATTATTGCCAAAATGTTAATGATTTTCACTATTTTAAGTTAATTAGGTTCATTAATGATGATCCAGTCCTGGATGTGTTGCTGTTGGAACAAACTAAACAAACTTTGTTTAAATTACAAACTAGTTCAACAGAGATGAAGGAAAACACTGAACTTAACTCTTCAAAATCAAACACTCAAAAAAGAAAAAAAAAAAGAAAAAAAAACCCAACAAAAAAATCTAACAGCGAGCTCTCTAAGTCATAATAAAATATATGTCTCTTGGCTATTATGTTTTGTTTTTCAAACAATGAATCAAGTTTTACTTCGGCTCAGCTTTAAAAGAACAGTATGCCCGGTCAGTTCAAACGGTGAAGTTTTAACCTTTAAAACTGAGGTGGGCTGCTCTGTTTGCAGACAACTCACATGCAAATCCCTTTCACTTCCCTCTCTCCATAGGGTCATTATTGTCTGGTTGACAAAATAAAACTAATCAGGTGCAAAAACTGTATTTTAATAGTTTGAAAGATGAAAACTGATATCCTCCTCTGCTTATTTTTTAATTCTTATTTGACAAAGATGAATTTCTTCACTCATCCTCTTGGCTCAAATTGTAAAGTCACACTTTTTAGTTTATATTTAGAACGCTTCTTGGATGAGTATCAAACTCTTCTGATTCCTGAACGACTCATGTTGCCTTCTGGTCAGGGATGAGTTTCTGTTTCAGTCATCAAACAGAAACCATCATTATTATTAATAGTGACCCCTAGAAGAGTTAAAAATATTCCACCCAATGAGGCGAGAGTGCATTGCTGCAGCCTCATGTCTCCAAGGGCTGAAAGCTGAAAGTGAAAGTGAAACGAATTCAGTTATTCTATAAAATAAACGCCCCTGKTTTGAGTTTCATACCTGCAGACTGAGGACTTTGTGCGGTAACTCTACAGTTAGGAGTTGATTTTCTTTTATTAATGATGTCATTTTCCTTCAGCTGAGGCAGTAATCACATGCACAGGTATACAGCAATAAATACAAAGAAATATTTACGTTATTTTTTAATTGTCTTTTGGAGGACAACACAGGAAGAGAAGAAAGGACAAGATGGAGTGACCATAAAATGACAATAAATGAAAATTGGTGCCAGCTRTTTGTTTGTTAGCAAAATATCTCATGAACCACTGGACGGTTCTTGATGAAAGTCTCAGAAAGTAATCTCTGGATGCACAGCTACAACTGATTAACTTTTGGAGTCACCCTCAGCTCATCCTCCTTAGTCAGTTTTAYGGATAGAGTTAAAACTKGGTGTGGTAGAAGCTGAACATTATTCACAACACATTCTATGAGATTTAAAAAGTTCTCAGGAGATCTAACATTTACGAGTTTCTCATAACTTTATTTTTACTTTATGTTTTACCGAACAGTATTAAAAGTGTCTGATTCTAATAGTTTGAACCTTAGCAGAGGTTTTGGTTTTGCTGCAGCTGAATGACATTAGTAGGAGCAGAGGTTAAGTAGAGTTCATGTAACCTGCTGTGCTGCTCATTACCTGCCTTTGTGACGAACAAAAAGAAGTCGGACGCCGTGGAGCCGTTTGTGCAGCAGCACCACTGATGCTGACAGTTTTTTCTGAAACTGCACACACACACACACACACACACACACACACACACACACACACACACACA